TACATATATATGTATTCTGTTTCATCTTCTTTTACTTTATATTATTTATCTCAGATATTGAATATAGCTGCCTGTGCAGTAGGACTTTACTGATTATCCATCCTAAGAGAAGTGATTTCTCAAAGGAACAGAGGGAAGGAGAAACAGTTCTCTAGCCTATCTGGCCAGTGCAGTGTTTAATTTATCACAACTTTTTTTTAACCTTCACCAAAGTTTCAGGATAAGATTGTAGAGAGCAAAAAACAATATTTTAAAAATAATTTTATTTATTTCCTTTTGGCTGTGCTGGGTCTTTTCCTCCGTGCGGGCTGGTCTCTCATTGCGGTGACCGGGGCTCACAGTTGTGGTGGGCAGGATTCTCACTGCACTGGCTTGTCTTGTCGCGGAGCAAAGGCTCTAGGCACACAGGCTTCAGTAGTTGTGGTTCATGGGATTATTTATGGAATCTTCCACATACAACCAGCATGTGGAATCCTCCCGAACCAGGGATCTAACCCGTATCTCCTGCATTGGTAGGCATGTTATTTACCAATGAACCTCCAGGGAAGCCCTTGATCAATATTTTAAGTTATGTTGTAAGTTCACTGTGAACTAAATGAGAAATAGAAATTGTGCTGACTCACAGAGCAAAAATTTCAGTGTCAGAGTTTGATCCCTACAGGATCAGTTATATCAGGAGGAGATTCCCGGAGGCGCTAGCAGTGACAGGTACTATTGGAAATGTAGGGAAAATGGGAGAAAGACCCCCAAACATAAGTCCCTGACAAACCAAAGCCATCTCTTTGGCTGTCTCTTTGGCTGGTGACATCAAGAATAGACTTGAAATCCAGTAATATCAGGATGGAGATGTTACACCCAGATTTTTAAGCAATGACAACTTTAAGTAAAATGCGACATTTAAAACAGATTATTGTAATTCAATGTAACATTAAATGTAAGTTCCATCAAATTAAGCTCTTTTCTAAAGAAAAAATGAAACATGGTTAGGTATAAAAAGCACATGGAAACTCAAAAACAATATTAAATCAAACTTGTGAAATAAATCTCTAGAGAAAAATGTTACTCAGAACATAGAATCACTGTAAAGCAACTATACTCTAATTGAAATTAATTTTTAAAGACAATGGTAATTAAAATTTTTAAATGATGAATTAAATATATGGTAAAGAATCCATAGTCTAAAAATGAGAAAACCAGAACTCATTCACCTTTCAAGTTCTTTATTTTGCAAAAGATCTTAAATTCTAGATGCAGCAAAGTAAAATACAGCCTCTTGGAAAAGAATTCTAGTTCACAGCACAGTTTCTCCTAAGGAGAGTTCCTATTGATTTGTAACTTGGCCTTGAATTTGACCTGTGGCCTTCATGTCATGATGATTTGGGTCACTCTGATTATGACATCTCTGGAACAAGGGCCTCTGCTAATTTTAAATGAATGCAGCTGTCAATTGCCATTCATTTATTTGCACCACAATTTATGGGAATAAATTTGCAATTAAAAAACATTTCCCTTAAGCAGTCAGATTGAGGAAATGAAGGACATTTATCTAGTAAGTTTAAAAAGAGATGTTTCATTTTTGCCCTTTTGGATATGAAAAAAGGAAATAAAGTTTATGTCTTTGAAGTGTTGATTGAGGCCAGATTTATTCCCTGGGCTACGGCATCAAAAAAAGCCATGCAATCCAAGTTAGATTTTAGTTTAAATTTAAAAAAGAATAAATGTTGAAAATTTCATACCACGCCTACAAAAGTTTTTTCTTCCTTTTTCCTCCTTCCTTGCTTCCTTTCTTCCTCTCTCTCTTTAATTTTTCTTTCTCTTTTTCTATTCTTTCCACATTTCTTTCTTTTTTCTCTTTGAGTCAATGAAAATGAATACTTTTTAAGTTTGATTTATAGAGAGGGCTTGGATTTAATATTAAAATAAAAACCTTTGTTAATCACATTAGAGTTTTCATACCATCTTACATCTGACACTGCAAAAATAATAACATATTGTCCAGATTTAGGGAAACAGGTCTATGAGGAGTAGACCAGGAGAGAAGGAGTCTGGAGGCTTTCTCATAAGCTAGACAAGTGAAGGGACTTGAAAGAGAAGGAAATGAGGGAGCTCTAGAAAGATTTAGGGAGGCCTCAATACACAGGTTTTGAGGCTTGCTGTTTTCACCGTGTATAATGTTCCTTCCATTATCTTCCACTTGTTGAAATTCTAATTCTCCAAAACCCAACTGTATAATCACCTACCCTGAGAAGTTCTAGATATTCTTGACTGTGTGGATAAAACTAACTGTGGAAAATTCTTAAAGACATGGGAGTACCTGACCACCTTACCTATCTCCTGAGAAACCTGAATGTGAGTCAAGAAGCAACAGTTAGAATTGGACTAGAACAACTGACTGGTCCCAAATTGGGAAAGGAGTACAACAAGGCTGTATATTGTCACCCTGCTTATTTAACTTATATACAGAGTACATCATGCGAAATGCTGGCCTGAATGACTCACAAGATGGAATCAAGATTGTCGGGAGAAATATCAATAACTTCAGATATGCAGATGATGCCACTCTGATGGCAGAAAGTGGAGAGGAATTAAAGAATCTCTTCATGAGGGTGAAAGAGGAGCGTGAAAAAGCTGACTCGAAACTCAACATTCAAAAAACTAAGATCATGGCATCTGGTCCCATTCTTCATGGTAAATAGAGGGGGAAAAAGTGGAAGTCGTCACCAATTTTGTTTTCTTGGGCTCCAAAATCACTGTGGATGGTGACTGCAGCCATGAAATTAAAAGATGCTTGCTTGCTTCTTAGAAGGACAGCTATGACGAACCTAGACATGAACTTTCCTGTAGCTCATACAGTAAAGAACCTGCTTGCAATTCAGGAGACCCAGGTTCGATCCCAGGGTCAGGAAGATTCTCTGGAGAAGGGAATGGCAACCCAACTCCAGTATTCTTGCCTGGAGAATCCGGTGGACAGAGGAGCCTGGTGGGCTACAGTTCATGGGTTTGCAAAGAACTGGACACGACTGACTAAGCACACACACAGACAGCATAGTAAAAAGCAGAGACATCACTTAGCCAACAAAGGTCCATATAGTCTAGACTATGGTTTTTCCAGTAGTCATGTATGGATGTAAGAGTTGGACCATAAAGAAGGTTGAGCACTGAAGAACTGATGCTTTCAAATTCTGGTCCTAGAGAAGACTCTTGAGAGTCCCTTAGCCTGCAAGGGGATCAAACCAGTCAAGCCTAAAGGAGATCAACCCTGAATATTCAGAATGGACTGTTGCTGAAGTTGAAGCTCCAATACTTTGGCCACCTGATGTGAAGAGCCAGCTCATTGGAAAAGACCCTGTTGCTGGGAAAGACTGAAGGCAAAAAGAGAAGGGGGCGGCAGAGGATAAGATGGTTAGATATTCTTTACTTACTCAGTGAACAGGAATTTGAGCAAACTCTGGGAGATAGTGGAGGACAGAGGAGCCTGGTGTGCTACAGTCCGAGGGGTTGCAAAGAATCATACAGGACTTAGCGACTGAACAACAACTCGGAAGTTTCGTAGCACCTGCTGCTCTCTTTATTGTAATACTAGTGATAGTCCAACTCATCTAGATCTGGTTAACCAGGGCCTTAAATTCCATACTAAGGGGCTTAAAGAGGGCCACTAGGTTTCAGGGCAAACTAATAAGGCATTTCTGGTGAAAACAAAAAAGAAGGGGGTGCAGAAACTATTCTCTCTCTGCAGCATATTGCTATGTGTCAGGTATCAAGCATGGCTACCCTAGTTTAAAAAAGTGAAAGCAAGTTACTCTCCAAAACTTGCTCACTAAGCAGCCTCCACATCCTCACCACCTTCTCTACCCTCTGTACTGCTATACCGAAATAGTGCTTTGAAGGTTCAGCAATGACCCGCTACTTTCCATGTCTAGGGATTTGTCCCCGCTGTCCTCATTCTCACAATTTAAGTCCATGATCTTTCAGAAACATTTTCTTCTTACAACTCACTAACAGGTCGAGGTTTTTTTTTCTGTATATGTGTGTGTGTGTCTGTGTGTGTGTGTGTGTGTGTGTAATCCCCCCCCTCCCCCGCCCAAAGAAGCTAAATACGAAGCTTAATTGGTTAAGGGTGGCTATGGGTGGAGTCTTCAAGAAATTCTGAAAGGTAACTTTGAGCGTTTTAGACTTGAAAGGGCGGGTGGACAATGCTTCTAAAGTGAAGGGTCAAAGTCTGTAGACTCTTAACAGCGTTCCAGGGCTGGGAGATAACTTTCTGTTGTTACTTTATGAANTGCTCCTCCTGCTCCGGGTCCCGCCGCAGCCCCTCGCCTGCCGGCGGCCCTCGCGTCGTCCTATCTCCCCGGCCTCTCCCTTTGGCCGGAAGGCGCCGTTGAGTGCGGCCGGGCGGGTTGAGTCAGCCCGGGACCCGGGCGGTTCCGCCAATGGGGCTGGACAGCGATTTCTGCGCTCGGGCCGCCGAGCCGCCGAGGCCCTGCGTGCGGGGTCGTCTGGCCGCCGCAGTCGGCGGGGCCGGGGCGCGCGTCCCGCGGGGCGCCGTGGGGGCGTGAGCCTCAGACTTCCGGGGCGCAGGGGGCCCCCTCTGGCGCTCGGGGCCCGGCGCCTCGGGAGGGCGCCCGCGGAGGCTCCCGGCCCCCTGCGGAGGGCGAGCCCTGGGCCGCCGAGGCCCTGCGTGCGGGGTCGTCTGGCCGCCGCAGTCGGCGGGGCCGGGGCGCGCGTCCCGCGGGGCGCCGTGGGGGCGTGAGCCTCAGACTTCCGGGGCGCGGGGGGCCCCCTCTGGCGCTCGGGGCCGGGCGCCTCGGGAGGGCGCCCGCGGAGGCTCCCGGCCCCCTGCGGAGGGCGAGCCCTGGGCGGGCGAGGAGCCGGACGACGACGACGCGGCAACTTCGCTCACTCTTCCCGGACTGGGGCGCGCGGGCCGGGAGGGGGCAGCCTGGACTGGGAAGACTCGGCCTGGCCCAACGGCGCCCCGAGTTTGCCCGCCTGGCGTCTTCCGTGGTGGGGAGCCCAGGAGACGCTTCAGGACGACTTGGTGCGTCGGTGGTGCAGCGAGCGGGCCGAGGCGAGGGCGAGCGAGGGCGCCGGAGTTTGCGAAGAGCTGCTTTGTGTTTGGTACGTATTTTGAGAAAATGGCCGAATGCCTATTTCAGTCAGGAATGCCGCGGCCGAGGCCGGCGCTGAAGGCAGCACGTAGGATCCGAGCGGCACGTTGGGCTTTCGGGCTGTGCGCGGACGGCCTTCCTGGGTAATGTGGGGACGGTAGTTAGGGTTGGGGGAGAATTGGGAATTCCGAGTCGCCTGGGCTGTTTCGTTAAGGCCTTGGACAGCCTTTGCTTTGTGTGATGGCATCTGATTCCGACTTTCGTTGGTACCTGTGACTCAACGAGTTTGTGTTTGTGCACTTGGGCGAAACTGATTACTGTTTGTATTTTGGGTTTAGGTTTTTTTTTTTTTTTGTAGTCTTTGCCACCTGTTTTGCTTTTTCTGATTTTTAAGAGAACACCTGATTCGTGAATAACACCTTTTAGATTGAAAAGTAAAGTGTGAAGACGGTGTATAAAAACCCCAACAAGGTTTCAGGGTGATCTTGTAATGGCTCCGCTTTACAAGTGGGCCAAGTCAAGCACAGTGCAAGAAAGTTGCTGATCGTGAAGATGAGTTGACTTATTTTATATGGGGATTTTAAAGTTTCTTTACTTTGATTTGTGAAGTCTTAAGGACACCAAAACTCTCTTCTTACAGGAGAAAAGGTGATTACTTTCTTTTTGTTTGCTTTTACTTTTTAACAGGTCAAATAATAAAAAAAAGGACCTAAGTAGTACTTTTTCACAATATAGTTGATCCTTGAACAATACATGTTTGAATTGTGGTGGTCCACTTATACATGGATTTTTTTTTTCCCAAGGGATAGTAAAGTTTTTCAGCTTTGCAGTATTTTGAAAAAATTAACAAATCAACCATGCAGCCTAGTAATATCAAAAAATATCATCACACAAATGAATATGTAAAATATATGTAACTACTAGTCTGCTATTATTTACTACTGACAAATCTAACAGAAGGTTGAAATTTATCAAGACTTGCACTCAACCGCATAAGCTACTGCACTAGAGCCATTTATAGAAATGTAAATTGAGACTCATTATTAAATCATAATTGTGTAAAAGTAACTCTAGTACATACAATACTAATGTAATAATTTTGTGGCCACCTCTTGTTAATTTTGTTGAGCTCAAGCGTTGCAAGTGTCTGCTGAAAATGCTACGTGAGGCTAATCAGCACTCTGTCCAGTAAATTGTGTTTCAGTAAAAAGTCACCACTTGGCGTTCTAGCATATTTTTCATCCTGTTTAGTGCAATATCAGAAACCTTGAATAACGTCATGGACCCATAGTACCACTTGTGATACTGCAAGTGCTCCCAGAAGCAAAGTTGTTACAAGAAAAAGTTGAATTGCTTGATGTGTACTGGTGTAAATTGATGTCTGCAATTGAGGTTGCCCACCATCTCAAAATAAATGAATCCATACTAATTTTTTTTAATTAAAGAAAAAGGAAATTGGTGAAATCATTACTGCAGCTACACCAGCAGGCCTGAAAACCTCGCATGTTTTGGGAAATACCTTTTTATGTCAAATTGAAAATTCACTTAAAAGTTGTTTACTTATTTATTTTTGGCTGTGCTGGGTCTTTGTTGCTGTGCTGGCTTTTCTCTAGTTGTAGGGAGCAGGGGCTGTTGTCCCTAAGTCGTGTCCTATTCTTTTGTAACCCTGTGGACTGTAGCCCGTCAGCTACATGAGATTTCCCAGGCAAGAATACTGGGTGCTCTTTAAAGTAGTGTTGCTTTGGACAGTGCTCCTGGCCACCCAGAACCCCACAAATTCAACAGTAATTATGCTGAAGTGGTCTACTTTCCCTGAGAAAGAATTGTCTCTGATTCTGCCTCTAGATCAGGGAATCTTTAAGCTCATTAGACATGATACATGAAAAGGATGGGAAATATTATCAATCCTATGGGAGGAGAACCCTGATAGAACATCATGAAAGTCTGAAAGGATTACACCGTTGAAGATGCTGTTTTTATAGCAAAAGCTGTGAAGACCATCAAGCACCAGGCAGTAAATTCCTGTTGGAGAAAACTCTGTCCAGATGTTGTGCATGACTTCACAGGATTTACAACAGAGCCAATCAAAGAAATTATGAATGAGATTCTGGATCTCACAGGGGTCTTGGAGAAATTCAAATCAGAAGAATGGAGATAACTTGATGGAGATGAGTTTTTTTGTTTTTTACAACATGGAGCATTCTGTGATACAGACAGTGAAACTAAAGCAACCCATGTAAGGATTGATACCATATAGGAACATTCTGGGAAAAATGAAAAAGGACAAAAGTCAGACAACATTTGGGATGCATTTTCATCAAGCTGCATGAGTCTGACTCTCCTGCCTTCTCCACCTCCCCCTGCACCTCTTTCACTCCTTAGGAGACCAACCCTTCCTCCTCGCAGACTGCTCAGTGTGAATGAAGACAAACAAGTTGAAAGCCTTTGTGATCCTCCACTTCCACTTAATGAACAGTAAATAATCATCCATGTTGTACAGTTAATAAACGTATCAGTTGTGTGTGTGTTGTGAAAAATCTAGTAACTTTATGGCAAGAGTCCCGAGACGTTCCTGTGTCATCATCTTGATCACCTAAGTGTTCATTCTGTAGAACATAGTGTGCAAGACTCGAATTGAAGTGGATAGCCTACCCTTACATTAATAGAAGGTGATTGATATTTAATGTAAAATTAGCTATCTGTTTTCCTGCTGATTTTTTTAACTGTGCTTTCAAAAAATTACACCACCATATAGTATGCCTTTCTCCTAATTGGTAAAAGTGTGTATCAGCCTGTTGTCACAGGTAAGTAGTTTTTTTTAATGTGACATTTCCAATGCTGTGTGACGAATATGACTATGGTACTGTATGCCATAACATTTCTGTAAAGATTCAGTCATTTGCACACGTGCTAGACTTGTCAGGATGCAGTCATATTGATCACGTTAAGTTATTGTGAAGCAGTCATATTGTTGCTGCTTTGTTATCAGGGCATAAATGTTACACCCATAAATAAATACGGATTTCTTTTTCATTCTGTCTTTTCATTTTTGATGTCTAGCATTAGTTATGTTTAACAACAACATTTTTAATTGTATAAGACAATATGGGTATCTTACATACGTGTCCATAAACTTTATGGTATCAGTAAATACATTACTGTAAATATATTTTTTCTTACAATTTTCCTTTTTTTGATGCTGGAAAATTTTTACTATTTGTCATCTTACAAAACATCTTTTGTTGACATTCTACAAGTGGTGACATTCAATAATATCCCAAGAAAGTATGTTTTTGATTTCTGTAATATTTTTTATTTCGAGGAGATTTTTTAGAGAAACTTGATGACTTTCTGTCCGAGATATTACATCTTCCTGGTTTATATGTTTTTCTCCCTCTTCGATAAAAGCAGTTGGAATTGAAGTGTCATTTGCTGTGATACCAAAGTTTTTCAAGGCCTGTGAAATACTGTTATTTGGGGAAAGATTGAAAATAATTTTAGTAGGTAAAGTTCTTGTCTTCATTTTTCCCATTTTGGAGAGGTGAACGGCCTTGTTTGCTGCCACAAGTATCTGAAATGGATTGACAGTCACTGTAGGGCTTATTAACTAGCCATCAGTGGCACCTTAGAGGGCATTTTTTTCTCAAGTCTCTAGCACTTTTTACATATGTAAATAACAGAAGGGTCATCCCATATTTGGGAAAATAGGTCCTGCTGAGGTGTTAACTGCATTTCATAGATAAGCAGGATTCAGTACTCCCAGAACCTCAAGACTAGCTCCCTGTTCTTCCCAGCTCCTTTGTCACAATTTTGGTGAGTTGGGGCTTACCAGGGTGATGTATACCCACTAGACTGTCAGCCTTCAAGGGCAGAGACTGAGCTGATCATTGCGGGGCTGCATCCCAAGGCCTGACTTTGGCAGGTGCTCCATAAATGAAGGTGTAGAGAGTCTCAAGCATCACCTGGAAGATCATGATCATGGGTGTCAGGGTTGGGTCTCCTGTTCTTGCCCAGCCCCGCCTGGCCTGGCCCGGCCCTCCTTATGATTTTATTAATGTCTTCTTTTCTCTAGCTTACTATATTGTAATCATACAGTATGTAATATATATAACATACCAAGTATGTGTTAACTGTCATCAGTAGGCTTCTGGTCAACATTAGGCCATTGGTAGTTAAGTTTTTGTGAAGTCAGAAGTTTCACTCAGATTTTAGATTACCCCAGGGAGTTAGTGCTCCTAGCCCCTTGTTGTTCAAGGGGCAATGGTAGTTTATTCTTTTGAAGATAGTTGAGTTCATATGAGATTTAATTCTCGGACCAATTATTACAAGCTTCTACTTTGCAGACCATACTTTAATCTATGCACAGTTGGCTTTTGGATTTTTTCCCCTTTCTGATTTAGACCGGTAAATTGTTGAAGAGGGAGTTAAGGGGACAGCAGTTTACTATTCATGTATAGAATTTAAAATATAATTTTAAGTAGCTCTAAAAATGAAGGTTACTTAGTTTTTCCACCAGAAAGTAAAAGTGCTTGAGGGAAGACATGCCATGTGTCAAACACTTGGTAGAATTTCCCATAGGAGTCATAGAAATTTTTTTGATGACTGCAATAAAGAGAATTTGGAATTACAAAGCTATTTTAAAGGCTTATTTTCAATAGTTAATGAAGCTGACTGAGTTTAAAGATTATATGGGGAAATGTATTTTTTTAAGTTACAAAGAACTACAGTGACGTTTTGTTTTAGACTGGTAAACGTTGTGCTTAAACTGGTGCTCTTGTGTGTTTTGTTTTGTTTGAATGCAGAGCACAGACATGGCCACGCAGGTGATGGGGCAGTCTTCCGGAGGAGGAGGGCTGTTCACCGGCAGTGGCCCCATGGGCATGGCCTTGCCAAATGACATGTACGACTTGCCCGACCTCTCTCGAGCTGAACTGGCCGCGCCTCAGCTCATCATGTTGGCAAACGTGGCCTTAACTGGGGAAGTAAATGGCGGCTGCTGTGATTATGTGGTTGGCGAAGAAAGACAGATGGCAGAGTTGATGCCTGTTGGGGATAGCAACTTCTCAGATAGTGACGGAGAAGGACTCGAGGAGTCTCCTGAGGCGAAAGGCGAACCCAGGGGGCTGGAGAAGATGGAACTGGAAAGTTTGGAACTCAGCGTGGTCCAGCCACGGCCTGTGTTCGAGGCGTCAGCTGCCTCAGAAACGCACAGCTCCAGCAAAGACCTTCCTCAGGAGACCCCCGCGGCAGAGGAGAAGTGCAGGAACGTGAAGACCAAACCCTTCCGCTGTAAACCGTGCCAGTACGAAGCGGAATCTGAGGAGCAGTTTGTGCATCACATCCGAGTTCATAGCGCCAAGAAATTCTTTGTGGAGGAGAGCGCAGAGAAGCAAGCGAAAGCCCGGGAATCCGGCTCTTCTCCCGGGGAGGAGGGCGATTTCTCCAAGGGCCCCATCCGCTGTGACCGCTGTGGCTACAACACCAATCGCTATGATCACTACACTGCTCACCTGAAGCATCACAGCCGAGCCGGGGACAGTGAGCGCGTCTACAAGTGCATCATATGCACGTACACCACCGTGAGCGAGTATCACTGGAGGAAGCACCTGAGAAACCACTTTCCAAGGAAGGTTTACACGTGCGGGAAATGCAACTACTTTTCAGACAGGAAAAACAATTATGTTCAGCATGTTCGAACTCATACAGGTAAGAGGACCTTTCTCGTTTATTAAGTGTACTGTACCCGCCAAAATGGAGCAGTCTTAAAAATGTGAACAGTTTCAAGCACCTCAGAAGTAAAGAGAATGCCTCACTGCACCCACAGGTACTCATCACCTATACTCAGCAGTTATAAATTATTATTTTATCACATTTGGCAATCATGCCTCATATATCAATTCGTACCTCAAATAACAACTTTATTGAGATGTACTCTACTTCGACACAGTTCATCCGTTTACTGTTAAAATGCATTGGCTTTAGTATGTTCACGGAATTGTGCAGCCAACACCACAATCAATTTTAGCACATCTTCACACCAAAAGGAACCCTTCTCAGGGGTTGCTGGCCATTTCTCCCCAACACCCCTTAATTATTCACTTTTAAATTGACTTTCAAATCTGTAATTAAGGGGTCTTAGTTTTTAAAAGCAATGTTTGTAACTATTGATAATTGCATTACATTTTCTTGGTGTCAATTAGTACCTTTGAGGACTGATTACTGGTCTGAACAACACAGATAAGATAACCTAGTTCTCTGCTCCTCCCATCAACAGAGAAAAGAGCTGTGGAATGCTGTTTGTTTCACATCCCATTTGCAGTAGTTCTCACTCTGTAGGACTGAACCCCATGCTAAAAGTGAGTCTTAGTGAGAAGAGGAATTGATGTTGAAGTGGTAGGCATAAACAAGAAAGCTTGCAGGTGAAATTCCATTACAAGAAACACATTTGCAGCAAGATTTCTAAGCTCCAACAGATGGCTTCTGTGTAATTTAAAGCTTTAAAATCTGGTCAAGGTTAGCTGTGAGACTGGGTTTCCTTCTTACAGCGGGTCCCTGCCTAACTCTGACCCAGACACCAGCCCCTTTAGAAGAAATGCAGAGGGCATCAGTGAAAGTGAATATTGGAAGTGGGCCTCTTTCTCACATGGGAACAAAGAATTGATTTTAAGTCTGAAATGATTTTAAAGAACAATAGACCCAAGTGTAGATATTCAGAAGGAGCTCTCCAGGAGAATGGGTTGAGTTTTTTTAGTGCAGTGTTTCCCATCTTCACACCAGGTAAAGGACAGGTGTGTTTCTCATACTTTTTTCTTCCATTGGTACTTTTATTTTTTTTAATGCTTTTCTGTCAGGTTTAAACATTTTGAAGTGTCCCGTTGACAAGAACATATTGTAAAACAAAAATTCAAAGAGTAATATATGGTATGTTTGTGTTCCTGTCATAATAATTTGATTATAAGAAAATTACTTACGAGGGCTAAATTACACTGTGTAAATGTCACTCTTAAAACTCGCATGTTTGACATAGCTTCTAAGACCCATGTAATTTTTCTGTGTCTGTTTTGAATTTTTAAACTTTTGATGAAGAGTTAGAGAATATGAAAGTATTTCTGAATAAAAATAAATCTACAAAAAAAATAAAAATAAAAATAAAATTAAAAAATAAAATAAAATCTGGTCAAGTAAAATACTTTGCAGTCTCCTTGGAATTTGTTTTAACCTGTAATTAATTGTCTCCAGGCTTTGAAACCGTTTTGTTTCAAAAGTAAAAAAAAAGGTACAAACATTTCAAAATTACATGGCATAGGAAAGGAGAGTTTCTTGGGAATCCTACACCATTAATCACTTAACAGTTTTAATTAAATAGACTAAACTAACCTCACCAACAGTATCATAAAACAAGTTCCAGATACCAAATATACTTCCGCCATAAATACTTTATGTTCCTTTAATAGTTTTGTGAAACCTTGGGGCCTAATTTAGGATTGGCCTTAATCTGTAGAGCTTTCAGGTAGTAACTGACATATGGTAAAATGCATGAGTTTTACATGTACACATCTATGAATTTTTTTAAAAAGGTATTATTGACAGTGGTGAATATTTACAAATCTATACTCATAACCAGGCTTCCCAGGTGGCGCTAGTGGTAAAGAACCCACCTGCCAGCACAGGAGTCGTAAGAGACCCAGGTTCGATCCCTGAGTCAGGAAGATCCCTGGAGGAGGGCATGGTAACCCACTCCAGCGGTCTTGCCTGGAGAATCCTATGGACAGAGGAGCCTGGCGGGCTAGAGTCAGACTCAGCTGAAGTGATTTAGCACTTACGTAACCACCATACAAGTCATCATAAAGAATATTACCAGGGTCTTTGTCATACTAAATTTTGATTTTATTAGTGTCAGTTATATTTTAATACTTTAAAAATTGTTGAGTCACTGAACAATTTAAAAAATTTCCCCCAAACCTAAAAATGTTTTCAATGATAAATCTAAGTAAGTTGATTTAAGAACATTTTTAAATGTTCTTAACATTTAAAAAATGAGAAAGATGCAGAGATCTGGAAAAATTTTACTTTTAGTATAAATTTCCAATTTTTTATGTGAATTTTTTGAAACTTAAAAAAAAAAATTTATTTATTTTTGGCTGCCTTGGGTCCTCCTTGCTGTGCTGGAGCTTTCTCTAGTTCAGAGAAGGGGCTCCTCTCTCGTTGCAGGCTTCTCACTGTAGTGGCTTCTCTGCTGGCAGAGCACGGGCTCTTGGCTCATGGGCTTCAGTGGTTGTGGTTCCGGGGGGCTTGATGGCCTCGTGATATCTGGGATCTTCCAGACCAGGGATCAGACCTGTGTCCCCTGCGTTGACAGGTGGCTTTTTAACCACTGGACCACCAGAAGAGTTCAAATGTTTTTTGTTACAGTGGTTTTTTTGTCATTTACTTACAGTCTAGGTGCCTAATTTAATGTTTTGAAATTTTATTTTTATTGAGTTATAATTAGCATACAGTATTAGTTTGAAGTATATACAACATAGTGATTTAACATTGTTGCATATCATGAAATGATTAGGTGGCTAATTTTAATGGCCGTATTTTATATACTTCATCATCTATTGAATAACTTTTCCTCACCTTAATGTAAGATTGATATTTCCACAATAATATTATGACTTCCATAGGTACACATATCTCATTTTGCATTTTTAGTGTTAAACTTAGTGTCTTAATACTTTTAAAAAGCTTCCTTCCCCATCACCCCCATTATAATTATTTGTGGTGTTTAAAAAAAAATTAAAAATAATTTGTTGGTGTAGAAATAGAAGGATACTGTTTTGATTATGTAAATTCTGAGTACCTCTGGTTTTAAATACATGCATGAAAATTGTATTTATGGAAAAATTAATGTATCTAGTGCTAATGAGCAGAAATACAGAAATGATCCACAGGAATCGCTTGTTTATTTTTACTTCTCACTTAGGGAACCTTTTCAGGTTCCTTAGTGGGTCTCTTAAGTTCCTTTACTGAATTCTAAGGGTTAGGTGCTTTTACTCTGCTAATTTTCAGAAAAATTTGCTGAGGAAGCAGGCTGTTTGTTTACCAAAGGCCTGAAGTGATGTTCCCAGGGTCACATGCAGCTAAGATTCAAAGTTCTGAATCTCTTTTTATAGGTAATTTTCATGGTAAGCGGCTGAGGATTTTTATTTGAATCTTCACTCAAAAGATTTTTCATTTTGTGGGTTTACTATTTAGCTAGTTCACAATTTCTACTTTTTTAAAAATTAATTTTTATTGAAGTACACAAATTCTACTTTAAAAGATGACATTTTTGCCTTATGTTTGACTGAAAAATTACTAGCATTTCTAGAGTATTTATGCCTGGTTTGGTGAATTACACACCTGGATCAATCTATTTGTTATGAAGAATTTTATTTTATTATTATTATTTTTTTTTAATGTTTGTTTATTTGGTTGCTCTGAGTCTTAGTTGAGGCATGTGAGGTCTATCTTCATGGCAGCACACAGGATATTTTTGTTGCAGCATGTGAGAACTCTAAGTTAAAGCATGTGGGATCTAGTTCCCTGACCAGGGATAGAACCAGGCTTCCTGCTTTGGGAGCTCAGAGTCTTAGCCACTGGACCACCAGGGAAGTCCCTATGAAGAATTTTAAAAGTAAATTATCCTTAGTTGATCCTTCATGTTAATCTGAAAGGGTATTAAATTTTTCTTCCATTCACTTTTTTTGGTAACAGCTTCACTAATGTACAATTGATAAACCATACAGATCACTGTGGATCGAACTATTCTGAGTATTTCATATAAATGGATTCATATGTGACCTTTCACTTAGTGTATTTTCAAGGTTTATTCATGTCATATGTACAGTACTTGTTTTCCTTTTATTGCCAAATAATACTCTGTTGTATAGATAAGTAATATTTTATTCATTCATTCATCAGTTAATGAATATTTGGATTATTTCCAGGTTTTGGCTGTTACGAGTAATGCTGTTATGAATATGTTTATGTTTTTGTGTAGATGTAATATTTTTATTTCTCTTGGGTAAGTATACACCTAGGAATGAAATCTCTAGACCATATGGTAATTATGTTTAATCATTTGAGTAACTGACAGATTCTTTTCCAAAGTGGCTGCACTGTTTTACAGTTCCACCCATACTGTACCGAGGTTCTTAATTCTCCACAAATAATTCTCCTAACAAATATATTTTAACATCTGTCATTTTGATTGTAGCCATTCTTTGGGTGTCATGTCTTCATGTCTGTGGTTTTGATCTGAATTTTTCTTATGGCTAATGATACTGTGCATCTTTTCATGTTTTTATTGGCCATTTATGTTTCTTTTACAGAAATACATCCAACATTTTTTAAGCTGTCTTAAAATTCTTCCATGTCAAAGTATGCATTTTGTTGCTATGATGTATTTACAACTAATCTGTAGCTACTGACTAATAACAACTGAATAGTTATTATAGATACATTTCACACTCATCAATGCTTTCTACTTTTTTTGTACTCTTTTCCTTATCCCATTGTTTTAGAGACCTCTATTACTGTGACTTACAAAATAATAACTGATGTTTATTGAGGGCTTTGTGTGTCAGGCACTGCATTAAATGCTCTGCATATATTTTCTTGATTTACGTTCTCACAGTTCTAGGAAGTAAAGATACTTTTACAGAAAAAGAAGCTTGTCCAGAGTCATAATTATTATCTTGTGGCCAAAGAACAGATGAAAACAAATTATCAAGCCTTTTTTTTTTTTAAATGTAATGTTCCATTGCGTCCTGAGAGACAGTTGATTTTATTTTTATTTATTTTTTAATTTTTCTGGCTGCACCCCGTGACATGTAGTAGGATCTTTGTTCCCCATCCAGGGATCCAAACCGTGCCCTCTGCATTGGAGGTGTAGAGTCCTAACCACACGACTGCCAGAGAAGTCCCTATCAAGCTTTGTTTAAAAAATATGTTGTGGTTGACAACGTGTGTCGAAAAAATACGTATTTCCTGCCTTTGAGTCTTTGAATTATTTAGTAAATTACTGGCCTGTCATCTTCAGTTACTCTCAGTCCCTGTTGCTTCATGATTATAATTTGCTTTAACACTGACCTGACTGTTTTTATAAAAGTTCTGGCTACCACTTGAAAATTTTAGCTTGAAACAATAGTTTCCCCACTCAAAAATGTTACTGCTTAAAGCTTACAATTTCAAATAGTAGTTTTATCATTTATAAAGGCCAAAAAAATTGCCCAAGTCATAGCATCAGAAAATTTGAGTAGATTTTTAAAAGAATATCATTGAAATATAACTGATTTACAATGTTGTGAATTTTTTTAAGGATAATTCTATTTTAAAATGTTGCTGATAACCTGATCCAAGAGAGTTTTTCAGTTCTTAATATTTAATGTAATACCATGTAGCATTATTGTGAAAATTAAAAGGGCTATGAGAATTCAGAAGGCCAATGATACTTATTAGCAAAGTTGAAATAATGTAGTTATGTGTATTTTAAATGATCTTTCTAATATGATAAAAATTGATCATTTTGCCAGGAACAGGGGAAAAAAATTCTTGTTTAAAAAATACTCAGTACTGCATGATGTGTATATGGTTGATAAGAATGGCATTTGCATTATTTTATCACTTGAACACTAATCATTATATTTTTTGTAGGTGAACGTCCATATAAATGTGAACTTTGTCCTTACTCAAGTTCTCAGAAGACTCATTTAACCAGACATATGCGTACTCATTCAGGTTGGTAAGAAGTGGGAACTTTAAAAAAAAATGTGTTTTATTGTAGTTGCTTTGCATCGCTGTGTTAGTGGCCACTGTCCAGCAGAGTGACTCAGTCACATGGTGTACACATCCACTCTCAGACTGCTTTCCTGTCTGGGTCACCACAGATCATTGAGGAGAGTGCCCTGTGCTATGACAGTAGGTTCTCATTAGTTATCTGTCTTATACATAGTGATTCATGTATATGTGTCAGTCCCAAGCTTCCATCTATCATTTTGAGTAAACTGCCATGATAAGAAAGTTCTTCTATACTTGGAACTGGATCCTAAATGTTTACTTACAGCATAATTCTGAAATTAGAATTAAAAATTAGTGGTCTACTAAGGTAGAGCTGTATTAAATGGAGATTCCTAACCAGGGAGTCCGTAGGTGGGATGTCTAAAACTGAATGTAGATGTTTGTGTGTACTGTGTCCAGGAAGAGGGTCCTCAGTTAACATCAGAACTTAAGTTCCATGATGTAATAAAAGTTGAACATAGACCAAGGCTGGTCAATCCTTTTTGAACCACCTCTGCTTTTTCATACTCCCACCCAGCTGCACTTGCCTCCCTTACCCTCCAGCGGAGCGTAACACCAAGTTTCATAGGGTGTGGTTACCACGTTCCAGGGGTTCCTTCTTAGCTGCTCAGTTTCTGAAATTTGGATTTGTTCTCTTGGGAGTTGACAGGGCTTCTGAGGGTTGATTTATAAAAAGCCAAACTTTAAAGAATGGCTAGACAACTTAAAGTTACCTCTGTTGCTTGTATATTATTTCTGTTGGGAATTGCTGTTTTAAGTCAGTGATTAAGACTCAATTACAGTATGAATTCTAATTTGAGCAACTGTGAGGGATCATAGCATGCTTACTGGCCCCTCTTGACCTTACATGCTTGTCAAGTATACTTTGAATGTTCCTTCTCAATCTTCTTAACTATTGAATTTAATCACTTAACCAGAAACCTGTTTCTTTTGGGTGCTTTGTGGTTTCACTTTCTGTGGGTATCTGTTGAGGATAGGTCATCATATCCTACTAATATTTGTGCTGTAGCCTTTAAATAAGAGTTTTTCATGACTTAGATCATTTCCATTTTCATAACTGTCTTGTGATAATGTGTGTGTGTGTGTGTGTGTTAGTTGCTTAGTCGGGTCTAACTCTTTGCAACCCCATAGACTGCAGCCCACCAGGCCCCTTGGTCCATGGGATTCTCCAGGCAAGAACACTGGAGTGTGTTACCATTTCCTTCTCCAAAAGGAACTATAGAAAGAAAGAAAGGGAAATTGCTCAGTCGTGTCCAACTCTTTGCAACCCCATGGACTGTATAGCCCACCAGGCTCCTCCATCCATGGAATTCTCCAGGCAAGAGTACTGGAGTGGGTTGCCATTTCCTTCTCCACTTGTGATAATAAGTTCTGTTATTGTCCCCATTTTACAAATGGGGACATTAAAGCCTTTAAAGTTGATTTTTACTACTTGCCATTGTAATATAGCAAATATTTTTAAAGTGTTAATAATGAGTAGCAGTTACTATTTATTGTATGCTTGCTGGGTACTGAAATATTGGAACTTGTTATCTTAAATCTTAGTACCTCTAGAATACTTATATCCCAGTTTATAAATTAGGACACTGGTTTTGAGACGATAAATGTTTTATTTAAGGTTAATTTGTCATTCTTCCAATTTAGAAGAGCTAGGGTTTGGTTTCAGATTTTCCCACCCTCATTTTTAGTCACCAGCAGTGTTTACAGAATATTATGCTCAGAAAGTGGCTCAGGAAGCTACAGAGTAATGGCATTGGAACATGGAGTAGGCAGAGAGCAGAGCCGCCGTCTTTCATTGGACACCAATAATTGTGAGTCACGAACAGGAAGCAAATATGGCTAGTTTGTGCTGAGTTATTTCCAGTGGACCCTATATTGCGAATCATTGAGGCTAAACGTGGTCAAATTGGGAAGGTAGCCTTCCTAACTGGGTTGCATGGAGTGAACATCTTGGGTGCTCTCTCTGTGATCTGGAGTCTGATCTTTACAGGTCAGCTTGGGCGTTCACTGCCCTGTTCATCTTTTAGGGAAGAGAAGTGTGTGCTTAGATTCATTTCTGGAAGATTAGGGTCCATTGAGTTGGTACATTTTAGCTAAAATGACAAATTAGTTAATGAAACAAAACCACATTGGTTATTTCCTTGGAGCACTTCCATTCGGCTAGGTCTTCTGAGGCCAAAGTAAGAAGGGATCAGAGTAATGGTGTGGTGAAATATATAGACACACTAATCTAATCAGCTGTTATTCTGTGTTTTATATATGTTTGTAAGTAATGGTTTTGAAGCATCCTCACTTAAATAGCTTAGAGATCCTGATACATTCAATTTATGTTTGCCATTTTTGTATGTATCACCCTGGATAGTTCCCCCATTCTCCTAGCATAGGAGTTCATTTTGAAAATTTTTAAACAGTATTAAGTCTAATTTACACACATGAAAATGCACACATCTTAGGTCAGTGACTTTATATGTTTTCTTATTTGACTGCCATCTAGGTGAAGACACCAAATGTTTCTACTACCCTTAGAAAAGTTCCCTTTTTACTCTTTCCAGTCAGTACTGCCCTGTTTCCCCTCAACTAATAACTGATTTCTGTTACTTTTTTTTTTACTTCTGTATAATGTTTTTAAGATTCATTCCATGCTGCATTATCAGAACTTTTTGTTTATTGCTGAGTAGTATGTCCCTATTACTGTTTAATTAGAAATTCCCTTTATACTCTTTCTGGGCTCTTTTTGATAAGAATGTGCCTTACATCTGTAATTTATTTAGGAAGAATAAAGTAGACATATGACACATTCATAAAAGTAAAATTAAGAATGAGTAAATATTCCTAGAACTGGAAAAGGGAATTAAGTTAAAACTGTTGGTACAGGGCAAAAGAATGTTCATTCAGCTAGATACTAATAAACTGAACTTGATGAATTGATTTTTCAATACAATAAAGATTTAATGACAGTAAAGCAAAAATGGGGGTGGAGTGAAGGAAGCAGTTAAATGATGTCATCATAGTTTTAAACAGAATCCTAGGCACTCCCACTCCCAGACTGTTTCACACGTGGAGGCTTACACCTTACTTGATGCAGGCTGTGTAAATACCCTCATTCATTACGGCTTATAAAATGACATTTGTTTATTTATGGCTGTGCTGGGTCTTCATTGCTGTGCAGGCTTTTCCCAAGTTGTGAGCCGGGGCTTCTCTTGGGCTGCTCAGTGTCATGATGTCTCCTGGTGGGGAGCACGGGTTCTCGGGTGCACACGCTTCAGGAGTTGTGGCACCCAGGCCCTAGAGCACGGGCTTAGCTGCTTCTCAGCACGTGGAATCTTCCTGGATCAGGGATCAAACCCATGTCTCCTGCCTTGGCAGGCAGATTCTTTACCACTGAGCCACCACGGAAATCCATAAAATGACATTTTCATTATAATTCTTCTATGAGCTCAAATATTTTCCTGAAGGGATCGACTCCATTCATCGACTGTTTGTATTCTCAAAGGCAGGGTTTACATAGTGAGGCAAGATAAGCGCATGAAACCTGCCCTTCTTTCAGCCATTCTGTAACTTGGACCAGTTCATTCCAAAAGTCATGAGTTACAGGTGATGTGTATTGACTGTTTGGCCATCTGTCCTATACTAAGTGCTTGAAATGGATTGGATTACTTATAGCTTACAACACTTAAGAGTACTTTACAAATGAGGAAATTGAGCCTTAGAGAGTTTTCAGTACTTTGCTGAAGAACTCACGGTAAGTTACAGAGCCCCATATTTGGTCCCCCCAGGTATTCTTATTGTAGAACAAGTTCTTAACAGTTATGTCACATTTCTTTTCCCCATTCTGTGTCTATATATGTTAAGTAGATATTTGTCCCCATTTAAGTCATTTAATGGAAAGGACAAGATAGGAGCAAGTAGAGAGTAATGCATCGTGTTGTTGGAAATCTGTTGGTAGACTAATATGTGATCACTGACAATGGGAACATCGTCGTAAACTGTGTTTGCAGTTTGCCATGCCTGAATAAGTTTTTGTGACCTGTCGTCAGACATCTTTTTAATCAGGTAAAGCTTACCATCTATGTGGTTTTGTTAATGTCTGCATAGTTTTGCTTTATGAAAAAAGATTTGGTGTGAATTTGAGAATGTTCAAGAGATGAATTTTCATAAATGTCAATTTCCATTTTTCTGCTATGCATTCCATTGGACCAGTGGGGTTTGGATACCGTTTGGTAATATTTGCTAGACTGTGATCTAGATGGGTATGTATTCAGGTAGAATGAGTTAAATCTTATGCCTTTAATTTGGGGGTGGGTGGGAGGCTTCTGGTCTTGTATGTGCCTGTGGTTATGACTTCTTGTTCTTATTTTATATGCCATATCTATTTGTATGCCCCTTTTCATTTACCTAGTTCCTTTGCCCAGCCTAGAAGAAGGTGGGAGAAAATCAAGAAAAGATGTTTAGCTTGTTACACTTTTCCTGTAGAATAGCAACTCTGGCACTGGAAAAGTTTGACTCAGGACAAAGGGTTAAATAGAAAGAAAACACCTTTTGCTCCCTGAGGCCAAGGCATTGTTTTAAAACTTTCACATGGAAGGTCTGGGAGTGTGGCAGAGAGTGTAAAATACTTCAAATTCCACGGTTTATCTTAAATGAATGTATGGGAATTTTGTATTCTGTTCCATTATCTGTTTAACTAAAGATAAAAACTTTAAAATTACCTTATCTCTTTGAGTGCCTTTGTCCTAGAATTAACATTAAAGAACCCAAGCCCCAAGGGGTAGCCCAAAAAAATGCGGAGATCAGTTTGCCAGTAATTGTGTACTTCTTGATGAATCTATGTTCTTTACTAGTGACTGAGAGCATTAGCTTAATGAATTTTTAAAAGATGATTAATTGAGATAATTATTCCATTTGGTATGAGAATCAGTCAAAGGACAGAGCAAAGATATACAAATAAATATGGTAAATATAAGTTGCATGATAAAGTCTTCATGAAATAGTTTCGGTGGTTTTGTTTTATTTATATATATATATATATATATCTGTATCTATCTCCACTTCTTGATGAGCATATTTGAATAAATCTTGAATTCATTTCTTAACGTGCGCCTTCTGTAACATCTCTTGTCTGCCTTCAGGTGAGAAGCCATTTAAGTGTGACCAGTGCAGTTATGTGGCCTCTAATCAGCATGAAGTAACCCGCCACGCAAGACAGGTTCACAACGGGCCCAAACCTCTAAACTGCCCCCACTGTGACTACAAAACAGCAGACAGAAGTAACTTCAAAAAACACGTGGAGCTGCATGTGAATCCACGGCAGTTCAACTGCCCTGTGTGTGACTATGCAGCTTCCAAGAAGTGTAATCTGCAGTATCATTTCAAATCTAAGCATCCTACTTGTCCTAATAAAACCATGGATGTCTCAAAGGTGAAACTAAAGAAAACCAAGAAGCGAGAGGCTGACTTGCCTGATAACAAAATCACCAGTGAGAAACCAGAAACAGAGCAGGCAAAAGTAAAGGGGGATGTGACTGGGAAGAAAAACGAGAGGTCTGTAAAAGTGGAGAAGAAAGAGAACGTTTCAA